AACATCCCCTGTAAATGTCAGCATTGCTGTAAATTTCGTAATTTGCTGTCTTGGATGTGCATGCCCCGTTGTAAAAAAGGACCGCTAAGACGGGGCATGCACATGTACCATGGATTTCGCCAAGCATCAAGAATTTGATGTGCGAGAGAGACCATATTAAGAGACGGGCTGAGAGAATTCCAGCACTATGGCCAAGATATAAGCAGCTTCGAAACCAGGGGCGGTCTGGCGTCAAAATCGCAGGGTGGCTAGAAAACTCAAGAGCCCGGTTTAAGGCGTGGCGGGAAAAATTGAGCCACACCCATTAAAGATGTGGCTCAGAATATGATTGATTCAATAAAAATTGATAATAAAGCAATACGCTAAACAGCAGCAGTATATCGACTTTAATTCGTAAATTCGGACCCAATTGGATCCAATTGGATCCATACCATTCCTCTCATGTAAACAGGCTTCAAAATCCCATGTAGAGTTAAGAATCAAGATTAAAACTTATTTAAATTTTCAGAGTTTCAACTCTTTCGAAGAAGTGCAAATGAATCAGCAAATTGGCCAATGACTTGCTCGTAATCAAGTGGAAAAATTTCTCTTCTTTCGAAATTATTAGTAGCGCTGAATAATCTTTCAAAGGAAACTTGGGTGCAGCTAAGTGTCATCAAGCATTTATACGCGTTGTAGAGGGAAGGGTATGCTGCTAGATGCATGTTGTATTCACTAATTTTTTATAAAAAGCAGTAAATTTAGGTTCAGGCTGACTGTTCTTAATTTGCGCAAAAATCCGAGGGTGTATTGTCCTTAATTTGTTCTTAAATTAATAGGGTGTGAGCAGTGCAATTGCTAGCTTTTTCGCTCTTGGGAGGTGTTCAGGCATTATTTGCCAACAAAGTGAGTGAGACAGCCTTCATTTGACGACAAGATTGAATATTCACCGAAAAGCAACCACATAGCTAAAAATCCTCGTTTTGGGATAAAATGTTGTTCAAAAATGCATTAAACAGTAACTCAGCCTTGGCTTGTTCCTAATTTGATCTCAACTTTTGACCAGTTTTGATGCTCATATTCTTATAAAATTGTTATATATGACAAAAAATATAAATATATAAAAAAATAAAAATGAGCGTCGGTACAAAGTTGTGAATGCGCAGGGTATGCACAGTTTTTACCCTTTTTGATAAAGGGTGTCGATGTCAACTTTGGGGTCCTTTCTCTTTTTGTGAATCTCCACCTTGAAAGTCACAGTTTTCCTCTCCATATTGTTTCTTCTCTAAGAGCTTGTTCCTTGAGATCATCTGTTTTCAGGATCTCTATTTTCACCAATTATTGTTTTCGCTTGATCGATAAGCTGCTGATAGCAATTTGCAAATGCCAGCAGTTCTGACATTCTATGAACTTGAAATCTTGAAAAAAGGCTCTTATTGCTCTTTTGCTTCCTCTTTGTGTCAATAAATTTTCTTAGCATTGTTAAATCCTGATACAGATCTCTGTAACCAGATGATAGTGACGACCCCTTGTCATCTCTCTTTTGAATTTCCTGTTTTGAATTTTACGTTATTTTCATTTACATAAGCCCCCCTCCCAATAATTGCAGCCTAAGCCTTATGTCCTGTATAACAGTGTACTAACTAGAAATAAATACAATGAGCAGCCGCCCCCTCCCAATATGAATTTGGTTCCCATAGCACTGTCTCTGACAGTCAGATACCCTGGGCAGCAGAGCTACATAAATTAGAGAGCGGAAATAGAAGATAAGAGTACGCTCATTCGCTTCTCTGCTTGGCATTCTGTTTACGCGCTCGAAATTTTTATGGCTCTGGGACCCAGGGTACACGTAAGATTGAACACATGGCTGAAATAACGGGAACCAGGGTTTGGGTTGTTTGAAGCGCATGTATTGGGACTTTAATCGCAATATAATCAGTCTAGGGCATTAAGTATTTGACATTTTTTGTACACAGGGCCCGGGTGGCGATCGCCACTTTGCCACCCGGGCCAGACCGCCCCTGACCACACTCATTGCTTGTAATTATTCTTCAGGACAATGCGTCCCTCCCCGTATCTTTAGGCCTATAAAATACCTTCAGGGTACACTATCACGACAAAGATTTCTAATTTGGCCTTACCAAGAGGAAAGAAATTTGATTCATATCAAATTTCTTTTCTACAAATTCAATTTGACAAACTAAATTTAAAACATTCGCACTGTCCTACTCGTGCCATATTAGGTTCTAAACGACAGACAGAAAAATTCAAGAATCATATATCTAAAATGGACTATATTTTTAGGTAATAGACTTAAAAAGTTTTTTCTAATCTATATGAAGATAAAAATTGCAAACACATACTTTTTCAACTCATAAAAACACGACAAGCCAGTGCCATATTCCCCCCGTAACTGCGTAAACTAAAAGAGCCACAATTTTTAAAATTCTCTTTAAAAACCCCAAAAATTGTTATGTGTTGTTGATTTATATCTCCTCTAATTGCATTAAAATTTGCGTAATGTTATTTGGAACTTTTGGCAGAAGCTTGGTTGAGACTGGTTTTCTTGAGAGAGACTTTGACACAAACCAATCAAATTTTTTTCAAATGCTGTTTCTTTATCAGTCGTTGCCACTGCCGAAACTGGCTATGACGTATAAACAAGAAAATTGTGCGAATGAATCAAGGCGTTTCCAACAAAAGTTTTCGTCTAGTAATTTTTTTGTCACTTTGGTGGTCTAGCTATTGGATTTCTACTTTAAAAACACTTGTCTTGAATAATAAAATACAATCTAGTATATTACCTATAGCTCCGAAGTTTTTTGTATTCGACTTGTACACCGCGAACGAGGTAGTAGTGTCAATTTCGAAGGCGCGAATCAAGCATTCGACATCTTGCGACATTGCTACGTATCCTTCGTAATCGGAAAAACTATGTTTGAAGTATTTTACCCATGACTTCTCCTTAACATCCATCTTTTTGTGTTCCAACTGCCGTCTTGTAAAACTTGCTTATTTATACCAGGCGCTGATCTCTCACAAAAAGACGGCGATTGACGCCTTCAGACTTATATCTCCGTAACAAGAAACGATTGGAAACTCTTATTTCTAGCTTGAAAACTCGAGAAAGATTCCAGTATATCCTAGGTCTTAGTGACATAGATTTACCTCAGGATTTACCCTAGAGTAAACAATTAAACATCGCTATTCTTGAGTCCACCTTGTGAGACCCTAGCTATTCTGGAGTCTAATTTATACTTATTGATGGATATATTTGGCTTCATAACGTCATTTGTAATTACATCATTCGACGAATACAAATCTACGTGATAACAAAACATGTCTCTACCTACATGTTGTTCTATTACATCATCGATTACCCTGACAACAAACAACAAACAAATGGTCAGAACATTCCAAAATAACTTAGACGTAATCAAGTTACATACACTCTTTTTTTATAAGAACAATTTTATAAGAACACGAGCCTCAAAATTGGTCAAAAGTTAAGAACAAATCAAGAACAAGCTGAGGCTGAGCTTCTGCAAAATGCAATTTTGAACAACGTTTTTTCTCAAAATAGAGGATTTTTAGCGATGTGTGGGTGCTTTTTTGGTGAGTATTCAACTTTGCCAGCAAATTAAAGCTGTCTCAATCACTTTGTTGGCAAATGAGGCCTGAACACCTCCTTAGAGCGAAAAAGCTAACAATAGCACTGCTTACACCCTCTTAATTTAAGAACAAATTAAGAACAATCCAGCCTCAGATTTTCGAAAAAATTAAGAACAAAAAGCCTCAATTTAAATTTACTGGTTCTTATAAAAAAGAGTGTAATTGGTAAAAATTACAGCGAGCACTTAATTATATGCGATTAAATTTTTTATTCACTGTCAGAACCCAGCACACGAGAACTTCCTACCGTAATATATTCTGACAACATATCTTGGCATGCAATGACTAAGTGTAAAATTGTTTTGTTTACTAATTGCAGTGAATACCTGAGTTAGGGGTGGGATTCCTTAAAGTTACCATTACAGTAACAACCCACAAAAAACAACCCCCAGTTTTAAAAACCTTTGCCCTAAAAAATGCATGTTTCTGATCACTTTAATAACAAATTGCATGTTACAGATTACCCACAAAAATTCTAAGCTCTCACATTAATCTGAATAGTTCAGCAAAGACGCCGGTGTTTTCTTTCAAGATAAATACACCATTGTTCAAAGCTTGCTAAAAATTGGAAAAAAGGAGTATAAACAGGATAAAAAAGTGAGCTCGTGAGGTTTTTTGTAACTTTAAAAACTAAAAATGGAATTTTTTTTGTTATTTCCAATTATCAATAATTCTTCCAAAAAGTGTATATTGGTGTAAATCTTTTGATTTCCTTATTTTTGCAAGAAGAGTACTTAGTTAAGAGATTATCGAATTATTTTCACCTTTTGATCCGTTTGCGTTGTACTGGTCACTTGTTTGCCAGAAAATAACCCCAATATTGAAATAACAAAGATTTCATACTTCTTCTCATGGAAGATCATTTTAATCATATTTAAACTTTAAATGACATTAATCAGAGCAAGACAAGAACTGAGCTATATCTGCACTTTACGTAGGTTTACTATGTCTGAAGTATACCTACTTACCAACTCATCAAATTTTAATTAAAATTACAAGGGCAACATAAGAACACATTGGCTAAAACGAGGTTTTAAGAACCAGGTTTTTTGTTTACATTTTTGAATAAGAACATTAAATAAGTCTACATAAGAATAATTCTTTTATACAGATTTTTACTGTAATAAGGCCTAGTACGTTTTGATAACGCAGTAGCAAACAATCGTGGCTAGCACAATGACTGAAGTAGAAAAAATCTGAGAGGTTGTGCAATGTAAGACCAGTCTTTCGTACGCTGGAAAGTTCTATCGCGCGAAGGACGCGTGTCCAACTTCAGCGGCATGACGTCACGCATCGCAACCTGAGGGGTTAGACATCTAGCGCCTTCGGCGCGCTGCTTTTACAAATTGCAAACGAGGCTACTGCCACGTTTGACCACAGGGAGAGCAGGGGAAAAAGTCGAAGGAACATCCGCCATTTAGCTACAAATTTGGATACTCAAATTCAACATCTAAACAGCCATGGTATGAAATTTTGTGTTATCAAGCATTAGTTAAACTTAAAACTTGATATTGCTAATGCATTTTTGATAGACTTAATAATCGTTTAAGACCGATAAATAGAGTGATCAACAATTCTTTCCTCTCGAGATGGTGTTGCTGCTGCTAGGCCCATGTCATTCGTCGAGTGTCGACCAATTGCAATTTTCGTTTGGATTTATCGAGAATAATAGAATTTGCCTTGCAGAATATATCTGTTTATTGTAGTGTAAACTCTCAATTTACTCGTTTGAGAATATTGTTTTGTCTTAATGATGCCACAAGGACCAGTATTAATAATAGTTATCAAATGCTATCGTTTGGTATATATATAGTTTACCTATGTAGGACCTATAGATTCAAGAGGTACTTTACTGCATTAGCGCCTGTCAGTTCGGTTCTAAGGGGTCGACCCCTAAGAAATGCTAAAATAGCTTCTAGTTATATAATGTATATATAAATATTTCAAGTATTGTTTTCCCTATTAAAATAAATTTTAAGATTAATCATTTCCAAATAATTGGATTTTATGATAATTGAAATAACTGAAAATTGCTACTTCCAATTTACAGCACCCAGACTTGAAACTTTGTTGCGTGCCTGCAATATATTGCTCGTGCACACATCTGCATGTTTTTAGTATTAGCCACGATAAGATCCCTAGATAATTGCAATTATCATTATTATGCATAAAAGTAACTGATAATTTTTAACTTGGAGGCTCAGTTTGAAACTTTCAAGGTTTCCTGTCTGGTACAACACATTTTTCTTTCCAGCTCCAGCTGTATTAGCTATGAAATTAATGAACTTTTAGGTTGCATAATTTTATCTTTTTCCTATGCAAGCCTCTCTCTATTTTTCAAGAAATATTGAAATGAAACCTGAACTTCAAAATGCTTGTAGATTCTTAATCGAATCCTAAGATGAAATCCATGTAGATCTCAATCAGATCTCAATCAAATCTCAGTTTGATTGATATTGTTAGTCCATCTTCGATATCTGCAACTTAAGCTACTTGGATTCCATGACTGTTCTTTGCACATGGAGTTAAGGTATAACAAGAAGAGTAAAATTATTGGCTTTGGCATACCAGTTTGTACTTCATCTATAGCTGCATTCATTATTTTAAATTTTCTACAATAAAATGGGTAAAAAACCACAATTTTTGATTTAGTTTAAGTGTTGAGGCTTCTGTGCCAACATTTTTATCTTCTTTTTCTTATCCAGATCTTCCATTTCCAATGTAAACCTAGTGTCAATTTCAATTCTAGTGTAAACCCATTAAATATTAAATAAGCAGTTCAAATTTAATTAGGGTTTTCCATATTCTTTCAAAATTGTTAGTAAAAATCTATAAAACTTACAAACTTAGAGGTATATATTTGGTCTGCCCTTCTAAAGAATGGACGCATTGGATTCAAATTTGACCCTTCAACAAAATTGGTTTTTCCAAAACAAAGAAAAAATTTCATTTTGAAATAAAGGAGTTTTTTAATTTGCTATTGATCAGTTGTACTAATTTGTCCTGTTAAATTGTGTATGATTGCAACATTTGTGCCGTATATTCAGATCAATTATGATTACATTAGTTAAGGTTATGTTAGCTACA